GGATATGACGATGATGGGGAGTAGGAAAAGGATGGGAGGGGGAAGAAAGGGGAAACGGAGGTGAAAGGAGAGGGAGGGGAGGGGCAGGATGCTTGCCCTGGTGTGGGGAGGGGAGGGGAAGTGTTTACTTCCTGTCACAGTATACTTGTCACATCTTTGTCTCCGGTAACTGCTGTTGCTGTTCCTCTTGGGGGTAAATAAATTATCCCTGTCTCTGTCTGTTACTCACATCACCTTTTGTCCTTGACACTTGTCACGCACAGTTGTCACGCACCTGTATCCGTGGACACGTGTGACTCGACCCCTGCAACCATATATAGGTGATTACACACACACACACACACACACACACACACACACACACACTTTTGCTTGTGTACGTTAACTATGTAACAGACACAATTGACTCAGAGTCAGTGTTCGTAGATGATTTGAAATAAATGAAAATAAGAAGAGAAGACCATGGAAATGGATGTGGACAAGCTGCAGGATTGATCTGGTAAGTGGCTATTAGAATTTAACCCGAGCAAATGCTGGGATGGTCAAAGACGACCGGAAACAGAGTACAGGCTCAGGGACAAAGAATGAAAACCTTCCTGGAGAAAGAGGGACCTCAGGGTGAGCATAGTTCTGAGTATATTACCTGAAGCACATCAGCCGAATAACCGCTGCAGCAAACACGAGATTGGTAAATTTTAGGAAAGCTTTCAGGAACTTCAACAAGGAAGCATTCACGACCTTATACACGGCATACGTCAGGTCCATCTTAGAGTACGCAGCACCAGTATGGAACCCGCATCTGATAAAGCATGGAAAGAAGGCAGAAAAAGTGCAAGGATTTATAATGAAACTACTTCTAGAGATCAGAAGCTGAATAAACTAAACCTAACGAGATTAAAGGACAGAAAGACCAGAGGTGACATGATTACGACGTACAAGATACTCAAAGGAACCCAATGGGTGAAGAGGGCGAGCATGTTTGAGAGGAGGGTCTCAGGTACAAGGGGTCACAGCTGAAAGTTAAAACACAAACGAACCACAGGAATGTTAGGAAACACTTCTTAAGCTTTAGAGTAGTCAGGAAGTGGAATGATCTAGGATCAGTATATAGTTTTAAGGATATGTATGATAACGTTTGTGCAACCAGGAAAGAAGGAACCCAGTACCGGCCAGAAGAGAGGAACTAGGTGAGAATCGACCTCTGTAACTACTATTAGGTGAGCATACACACGCTACCCTTAAAAATGCCGGCTTTGTATTTCCTGGGGTTAAATTCTAATAGCCATTTGTCAGACCAGTCATGCAGCTGGTCATAATGTTTTTGTTGTAATTCTTCGTCTGCTCCAGTTTTGTATTCTCCTCATTAGTTTTACGTCACATACGAAGAAGATAGTTCCGACTCAGTTTCTTCTGGCATGTCGTTTACACAACCAAGAAAAGATACAGCTCCAAGCATAGACCCTTGTGGTACCCCACTCGTCACTATCACCCATCCCGAGGTCTCCTACTTGTTATTTCTTTCTTGTTAATTATTCCTTGATCTATTCTAATGTTTTTCCCCGTTATTCCTGTCTGCTCCTATATATTTTGTTCCAGTCTCTTGTGAGGTACTGCATCAAATGTTTTCCGAGAGTCCAAAAATATACTGTCCGCCCATCTCTCCCCTCTCTCGCCTCTCTAATTTTCGTTACCTTATCATAGAACTCTAGCAGATTTGTGAATCAGGATTTACCATCTCTAAAACAGTGTTGGCCGTTATTTATGAATCTACCCTTTCCCAGGTGCTCAGCTACTCTTTATATTAATCTTCATAACTTTGTATACTGTGCATATCAGTAACATTGGCCTGTGTTTAATGCAACTTATCGGTCCCCATTTTGAAACATCGGCACTACGGTCACTGTTTCACAAGGACTTGCCAAGTAAAGGCCGGTAAGCCTGCTGCAATGTTCCTCCTCTCTTATGTTTTCCAGAGGTGTTTCAGTTGACTTACTGAAGATAGTTGCTAGCGATTCAAGCATTTCTTTTGCTTCCTCTCTCATAACCTACAGAGAGATGTTACTTAGTTCTATTGTCTTCGAGGCATCTAGCTTGCTCAGTAGCTTCTTCATCTCTCCTTTCATTGTTTGTACTGTGACCAGTACTCGCTGGTGCACTACCCTCTCTTTGAGTTTGGCAGTGTTCCTGATTCCTCTGAGAATACCTACCTAAATATTTCATTCAGTTCCTTGCAGATTTCCTGATCATTTCTAGTGAGCTCCTTCCTCCCTTCTTCAGCCTTATTATCTTGTCCTTCACAGTTGTCTTCTGTCAAATGTGGGTGTACATCAACTTTGGCTCAAATTTGGGTATCGATGTTATCATTCTCGAACTGTCGTTTACCCTCTTGTCTTGCCAATACATATTCATTTCTGACTCTTTTGCCTGCTTCCTTCTTCTCTAGCAATTTTTTGCTTTCTATATTTGTTCCACTGACTTGCACTTTCAGTTTTTTACCTCCTACCATCTTCGGTGACCCATGGGCTCACCCTGTTCTTGTTTGTGCTTCTAGTGCTTGTGGGAATGAAAATTTCTTATGCTTTCTGGCACTTCAAGTTACATACTGTATCATTTCTTTCGCAGCCTTTCCTTCTAGCTCCCTTTCCC